AGCGCTGCACACATAGAACATGAATAAATGAATGTCGCGCGCGGTCTGTGCCGATCGGGCACCCCGCGCCGCTGCATGCGCGCGCACGTCTAGCAATTAGCAGGCAACGCGCGCTCCCTTCCAAATTCAAGAAGTCGGAATGCCCACCCCAACCAAACAAACAAAACAAAACGAACGTCCCCTGCCCAGGTGCTGGCGCGGCGGGCACGCTGCGAATCCCAGCGACCCTCTGGGTGTAGGTGGTTTGACGAGCCGCATCTTCTCTCTGCGAAAGCCCCCTCCTTCCCCTGCCGCGTTGAGGGGGTTGCCCGCCCCCTCGCCGCCTCACCCCGCCCCGAAGGGGCGCCCCGCGAGGGGTTAGAACGTCCAGGGTTGCCCGAGATGGCCCCATGGGGGCCTTAGATAGCCCAAGATGGCTTCCTAGATGGGTCGAGAGCCAAGATGCCCCAGGATTGCTCCAAATCGCCTCCGACGCGCGCCCAAGAGGCCTCAAGACGGCGCAGATGGTCACGCGTGCCCGCCGAGACCTTCAAGCCCCCCCGCCCCCCACGAAGCCAACGTGGCTCCGACATCTAAAACGACACGCGATTAGTTTGTCGTCTAGCCGCTTCGCTCCCGATTGGCTTTTGAAGCCTCAAGGCGGCCCCGAAGCAGCCAAGAGAGCCCCGAGAGGGGCCCGGGAGGGCTCCAATATGCCCCCACGTACAAGAGCGCCCCCAACAACGCCCTCAGAGCGCCCCAGGACGACATGCTCGAGCTGCCCATGGGGGGGGGGCTGCATTGATTGCCCCGACCTCCTGGAATGATGTTGGCCAATACTGCCCCAAGATACATTCGACCCGCCCAAAGGACCCAAAGAGAGCCCAAAGGTGGCCCCAAAAAGACCCCAAGACGGGCCCCGACAGGGCCCCCAACGAACTCCAAGATAGCTCCAAGCGGCATCCGAGAACCTCTCACGACAGCACCACAACTCCACTGGCGAACTGTTCAGGATGGGCTGGCGGGGCCACGCGAAGCGTCGAGGATTTTGGGGCGCGCTTGGCGCGGAGCGCTCGAAAGCGAATGCCCGAGACAGCAATGTCGTTTAAGACAAAGCGAATGTGTCGCATGTGGCAATGGGCAATGACGTTCTCAGTTTGGGGGAGGCGGTGTGTCGTTTGCGGAGGTTCACGCAGCACGTAATGCAACGTGCTAGCTAGATGCAACGCAATGTAATGTAACGCAAAGTAATGCAACACAGCGCAATGTAACACAACGCAATGGAATGCACTTGTTGGGTGCTCCTTACAATCCGCCAACTGCATTTCCTTGTGATGTACCGGGGCAAGAAAAAACGGAACCAGGAACGCTCGGCATCGATGGCGCGCGCAGCTGCGCAGCGTGCCCCCGCCTTTTGCGGGGGCACGCCTGGGCTGATTTTAGTTCCCCTCGGGGCCCCCATGCGCCGCCCACACAAAGGGGCGTCTTCCCCATGGGGCACCCTTTTTTCCATCAGCTTCGTTCCGACGGGAGAAAAATATTCATATTGAGGGACTGTAGAGGTGGCCCCTTCAGGAACGGCCGACAACGCGTCAGCGTGGGGCGAACTCATAGGAAAGACCAACCTCGGAAATCACATGTGTGGAAAATCCATACGCATGGGGCTCCTGGAGTGACCATCTAGGCGCCCATCAGTTAGGAAGCTGATGAAGCGAGTGGGCGGTAAAAAAGACAATAGCGAAAAGGGCGATAAAGGGCGAGATGGGTGAGGAAGCGAAGGGTTGAAATTGGCGCTGGGTCCTTCTCGCCCTGCCCGCGCCCTTGATCATCAGCAACATTGCACCCCGTGCGGGGGGGGGGGTTCACGCATGAACAACGCGCAAGGTTCGTCAACGTTTTTCGTTTTGTTTTTCTGATGTGTTTTGAGTGTTCGCAGGCGACCGCGTGCAATCGACGCCCAGCAAAATATTGGACTACCTTGAAAGGATTGCATGATTTGCACAGCGAAGCGGCGCCGCCCCATATAAGTATAGGGCCTTGGGCGTCGCTGCGTAATGCACGACTGACATCAATCCATAGCTTTGGCGGCAGAAGAACGGCACGCGCGTCGCGCGTCGCGTTTCCGCTCGGCTGACAGACGCGCACGTCGGCGAGCTCGTGCGCCAGAGCAAGGCGCAACAATATATATATATATATATATCGTCGGGAGCGCGCGTGGAGGCCGTTGAGCGGTGGCGGGGCACTTTGCCAGTGCGCCAAGGTTCTCGTCATGGGAGGAAGGGGCGCCGCGCCCGCGGGCCAAGCTGGCTTTCGCGACGGCTTGTTCGAAGGAGCTGTCCAACGACCGGCCGATGGGTCGATCCAAACGCGGGCGGACATCGATGCAGACGGAAGCGAGCAGTCGGCGGGCCGTCGATCGATGTGAAACCGCTCTGCGCCGCCGACAAAAGCGAAGCCACACCCCATGAATTCTCGCTGGAGTTCAATCGGCACGGGGACGTGCGGCCCCGCAGCTCAAACTGCCCAAGCGCGCGGAAGTTTGATCCCGTGGGGGTCGAGGGATCGGGGATCGGGCGACCCCCCACCCCCCCCCCCCCGCAAACCCGATCGGCTGCCGACGCGCAACCCGAATGCGCCCACATTGCCCTCGACGCCCCCGAATCCAAGCCAACGCCAACGGCAACTCGCGCGAGAACTTGGTGCCGCAATGGCCGCTTGGGGGCGCCTGTGAGCACCGTTCCCCCGCCGCCCGACAATGCGACCCTCGCCGCGTGGGCGACGGACAATCAGACTTCCCGTGTGTCGAGCAGACCCATCCTTGGAAGTCCTGGCCGCGATGGCCGCATTGGCTGGCTGAAAGGCGATGGGTGGCTGACTGGCACGAGCGCGCGCGGCTTCGAACCGCCCTGGCAAGCGAACAACGCGTGGCCGATATTCCTATACTTGGCTTGGGGCGGCCGCGGCAGATGCTCGGAAGACGCGCAGCTGTTGCGACGCCCGCTCATCACTGCGACCGGCTGCCCGCGCAGCGCCCGAAACGCCAAGAACAGACATGCGAGACCTCGCGCGTTCGCTGGCGCCGCTGGCAATGGGGGGGGGGGGAGTGGACCGCTCGAAGCTAAGTCCACATTGATCACCGCCCTGCCTGCCGCCGCCCCAGGTCGCGAACTGCCGCCATTGCCGCTGCGAGCGTGTATCATACTGGCATTTGCGCTGTTACCCTTGTTGTCTGTTGTTGCAACCACGACCCATGACAACCAAAGAGGGCAGCAACGGAAGCCTGCGCAAGCGCCCCCCAGGGGGCGCGCGAGGGGCGCGCGTGGCACGGGTGCCCTGAACAGCAATGCCTTGAGCCAGCGGTTTGCACCCCCCGCCCACCCACCCACCCACCCGCGCTCCACGCCACCACCCCGCCCTGCCCCGCGCACACACACGCGCGCGCGCCGCCACTACTTCGAAGCCCCACCCCTCGGGCGAAACTCGAGGGCACGACGCCCAACCACCCCCCCACCCGCCCCCGCGCCCCTCTCCCGCGCGACAACCCCGATTTCGCTGGACGCCGCGCTTCCGCGCATGCGCGCGCCGGGGAAAATGCGCGGGGGGGCCCGCGCACGCAAGGCCCCGCGCGCAAGACCTGGACATCGGCATCGGCATGGGCAGAGGCATCGGGCATCGGCACAGGCTCTGGCAAAAACGCAAGTGCAAGGTACGCGTCTAAGACAGAAGCCGCGCGCATGAACATAAGCTTAGGCATTGGCCCATGCAAAAGCATAAGAGCAACCCGTGGCGCCAGCCAAGGCCCTAAGCTCTAAGCGCAGGCATAGGCGTAGGTTCGCGCAAAGGCGCGGGCGCAAGCGTAGCTGCAAGTGCGCGCTCAGGGCCCATGGGGCCATGGCAACACAGAAGGCGCGAGCCCTAGGCCCTAGCCAACGCGATTGACCGACAGAGCGGGCCTCGGAGCAGGCATAGGGCGCGGGCGGACGTGCATGTGTGATCGCAAGCACGATCAGGGAAACAAAAACCACGTCATCCCCACCCTCCCCCCACATCCTTCCTCCTCAGCCCCACTGTCTTCCTCCTTTCCTCTCCTCGTCATCCTTGCCCTCGTCCGCCTGCCCTCCTTCCTCTCATCATCGTCCTCCTCGTCCTTCGCATTGCCCCTCCTCCCCGTCCTCCTCCTGCGCGCCCCCCCTCTCCTCGCACCATCCCTCTTCCTCTCCCATTCGTCTGCCGGCGGGGGCGAAGCGGGCGGGAATGGCCACCAAAGCCTGGGTCGACGCCGTCGTCGGAACGCTGGGAGCCGAGCCAGCTGTCGTCGTGGGAGGCGGTCTCCTCGGGAGTGGGAGGAGGGGGAGGAGGGGGGGCGTTGTGGAGAGGGGGGCCTAAGGCGGCCCCCGAAAGCACATGCCCAGCCCGCGTTTGCACGGAGACACTCGGCGCCGACCCGGCTTTAGGTCAAGTCTCGGAGCCGCAGTTGTGACGATGTCTGGAGCGAGAGCCTCAATTCCACAACGGCCCAGAACCCGCTAGCCCCGTCCGATCCGCCCACTTTGCGCACGCATCTTCAACGAAAACCGCACATGTTGAAACGACGTCGGGCAACGAATCGACACAAACCCAAATGTTCGGGGGCGGGAGTCTCGCGCGAGCCGTGTCATGTCCGAGGGGCGATGTTTACCGATTGGCGGCGATTGGCCATGCTATTGAGCAGGCGGTACTATGTTGCATCGGCCCGCGTGCCTCCTCATCCTTGTTATCACTCCTCCCCTCTTCCCTTCCCGTCGTCGTCGATCGTTTCGTCGATCGCTGTCGTCGATCGCCGTCGTCGTCGTCCGTCTTCGTCGCAAGCCGCATGTCGTCCATATTCGTCGTCGCTCGCGCTCGTCAATCACCGTCGGGGGGTGGGGGGGGGGTCGGGGGGGGGGCAGGGGGCATTGTTGGCAATGCCAATGCCTCCTTGTCCTCCGTGGAGGTGTCCTCCTCAGGGCCAGCCAAGCCGCCAGCGCGGTCGGAAGAGCTACTCTCGTCGCTCAGGTCTTCAGCCTCGTCGCGCTCAGGATCCACGACCCCGCCGCTCATGTCCACGCCGTCGCCGCCCACGCCCACGACCTCGCCGCCCAGGTCCACGACCTCGCCGCCCGTGTCCACGTCGTCGCCGCCCACGCCCACGATCTCGCCGCCCACGTCCACGACCTCGCCGCCCATGTCCACGACGGCGCCGCCCATGACCACGACGCCGCCGCCGTCGAGCGGCAGATGGCGGCCTCGCCCTCGGCCTCGTCCAGCTGCCCGTCCTCTGCCGCCAGCAGCGCCGCCGTCGTCGTCGCCGCGCCCACGCCGTCGGCGTCGCCCAGCTGTCCGTCCTCTGTCGCCCGCGGCTCCACCATCGCCGCGGCCTCGGCCCCGCCGCGGCCCATTCCACCAGGCCTGCGGGGTTTGGGCGGCCACGCATCGAACGTGTTCACATCGGCGAAGGCCTCCTCCACGAGCACAGCGCCAGGCACAAAGATCGAGAGGGGCCGCTTGCGCCTGCGCAACAGGTAGAAACTCGCACTCCACTTCCGCCCGGGATCAAATGTCGAAGCCCACTTCTCTAAGGACAGCCACCCGCTCGACGCCTGGAGCGACCAAGACGCGCTTGCGCCCGAAACTGACCAGCACCATCACCCCCTCATTCCCCAAGTTGCCCCCCGAGCTGACCAACCCCAGCAATGCCCGCCCCCCCCCCCCCCCCCCCCCTACGCGCCCATCGCTCTTGCTCGCCCCCGCCCCACGGGGACAGATTGCGCCGATGGGGGGGGGGGGGGGGGGGGGGCGCAGTGGAGGGGCGGGGGCTGCGAGGGGGGTGGCACTGGCCAGTTTGGACTGCAAACGCGGCATGCCGCCGACGCCTTCAACGCAATATCATTCCCCTGCGGGTTGGCCGTCATGGCCTCGTCGCCCTCGGCTATGAACATCTGCTGCGCCATCGGTGAGAAGGGGGTCAAGTTCATATGCGACATGCGCCACCAGCGGATGTCATCGTCGTAGCCCGAAAACCCTGCCAGTGCCCCGTCGCCATCATCTTGCAAGGGCGCGCATTCGAGTCGCACGAACACCTCGCCGTCTTTCAGCTGCCTGCGTCTACGGGGGGCGGGGCGCAGCGGGCACGCGTTCTTCATTGCCAGCAGCAGCGAGTTCTTCATGCGAGTAACTTCAAGGCCGCGTGCTCCACACATACACGTTTCCGATTGCCCAGCACTTGCCATGCTTACTCTCTGGATCCTCGTCCGACGACTCGTGCTCATCTTCTTTCTCGTCGGCCATGCCCCTGTGCAAGTAGTCCCAGTGGCCAGAGATGCCCTTCATCAGGTTCGCCTGCTTGCCACCGGTACTCCTCGAATACCCAACCTTGCTGGTGGCGTCGCCAGACGACGCTGCACTGTCGCACTCAAGAACACGGACACCGCCAGCAGGACCAGGGACCGCTTGGACGCCAAGCGCCCGCCGAAAGCCGTCACTGCCTGCTGAGAGGTCCTGCGCCCAGCCGTCGGTGTGCGCGCGTCCGAAGTTGGCGACCGCCTCCTCGTCTTTCCTCTCGGCGTCGCGCCTCGCGGAGTTCGCGGTCTGCCTAATCTTCTTGGCCGTGGCGAGCGTCTCCTCGGTCGAAGAGTAATGCAGATGAGCGTCAGATAGTAGCTTGTCCACGGCTTGATTGACGCCAGCGTCGGGGTTGGCCGACATCCTCTGCTGCAAACTAAGCTTGGACGTTGCCCGCTCCACGTCCTTGCGAGATGGCCCGAACGAGTTCCCATGGCGACCCTCTCTACTGGCCTGCGTCGCCAACTGGCCGAGGCGCACGCACTCCTGCAACAGCTCCGATCCCACGGTGTCCTTGAGCGCCCTGCACAGCCTGCCAGTCCCCGCCAAGTCTCGGGAGCCCCGATGTCGAACAAACGCCCTCCACGCTCCTCCGCCGCCACCTCGCAATGGACCCTGGTGCGCATCGTCGCCATCGCCGCCGTCCACGCGCCCGCGTGCTCCAGGAGCTGGAGAAGCGTCAAAGCTATGAGCTCGAACTGTCGACGCAACCCGTCGGGTGCTGATGTCCGCGGCGTCGGGCTGTGGGCACTGCACTTGTTGTGATACCATGCGCCGTATGTGACTGTTCGACACTCCCAAGCGGTCCGTATTCGCGTAGATCATCATGGCATGAACCAACAGCTTCATCCTCGCATCCTCGGTGGTGAGATCATAATTCTGCAGGAACTTGGCAGACCACGAATGAAGCATGCATCCAGGGGTGGCTTGAATATCCGCCGCAAGCTCGGGCTGGACTAAAACGAGGAACAGCCTGAAGGGCGCCTTGCCGTGCGGCGATGCAATGAGCTTCTGCGCAAATGCACCCGCTGCCGACACGCCTGTGAACACGTCGGCCTTCAACTGGTTGTTCACCTCTGGCTCGCGCAGCAAACGCCACAACCTGCTGCCGTAGAAAAGCGCGTGCATGCGCACGCAAGCCTTGTGCTCGATCTGGCCCCGAGCGTGGATCAAAACGCCATTATCCCTGAGCAGGGAGCCGTCGTCGCCCGGCGCGAAGCGCCGCGCAGCAGTAGCGTTCTGCTTGCGCTCCCATCTCTTGGGCCCGATCCACAGCTCTTCGGACTGCGCGTTCTGGATGGCAGAGACAATCATCTTCAACACTACCACCTGCGCGCAAAGCTGCGCCCCCGAGTCGCCGCGCAACCAGTCCAGTGCAGTCGCCCGTTTCCGCGCCACCTCCCACGCCCAAGTAACGATGGGAGCCATGCCTCGTGGATCTTGCCGCTGGTCGGCTTCCCGTTCCACGCGAGCCTCGTCATCGGACGCGTCGCCGAGAGCTGGCAAGGGCCCGGCGCCGCCGTGGCCAGCGACATCGGCGTGGAACTGTTGCGCATCGCCATCCCCCCATCCCGCTTCGAACTCGGCGGCGCAACAACTCATGCGCGTCGACGAGGACATTCCCGAGGAGCAGCGGGATCGCGAACTCGCAGCGCGCCTCGTCCGCACCCATCTATTTCTGCCGCTGGTAGACGGTGGAGTTTTGGGAAACCGACTGCCTGCGCAACGCCCTCTGACACAACACTGAACAACTCATCCTCAACGCAGGTTTGGCAAGGAGGCACGTATATCGGAAGCCTCTTGCTACCCCAGTCGCCAGTCGCCAACATATCTGAAAGAGCTCGCGCGATAATGAGATTCTCGCTCTTTGCAGAGATGAACCACTTCAGAATTAAGGCCTTCCTGGACAAACCTGCGGCCGACGGCGGCGATGCTATGACCTCGCAACGCTCCCGAAGTACGTCTCTAAGCGCATCTCTGACCACCTCCAGGTGGCCCTGGAAGTTCAAGGAGAGCCTAAGGTTGATCATGCCTGTCATGCACGGTGCCAGCCTCCACGTCGCAAGGACCCTGACCGTCTGAAGAATGCGCTGGTCGCGCGGGAACAAGATTGACCTGGAGCTTTCGAACCGTCTCGCCATCCTTCTCGCAATGTGCCGCTCAACCGCCAAGTTCGAAGGATGTCGGTCCACGCTCGCTATCCTCGTGAAGGAATCAAACCGAACCTCTGGCAACGATATTGGGGGCGTCTCCTTCAGCGCCTGCACAATATATCCAGGGGTGTTGCGCGCCAAAGCTTGGATGTGGCACATGTTTGACCCAGTGCTAACTACGTATTTTCTGTGGCCGCTCTCCAGCGTAAGCTTGGCGAGCATGGCGCACTGCTGCTGGGCGCGGAACAACTTCGTCGGCAAAGCGCAACGATTTCGAGGGGCGGCTTCATGACGAGCTCCGGCAAGGGGCAATTCGGGTCGATGACGCGCCTGGTCCTCTCGCTAACGCCTCTGAGCTTCAGCGGCGTCTCGTCGTAGCCTGCAACGTCGAGGGGCAACATCCTCTCGATGCGCCGACCCTGGTGCGCAGCCTTGGCCAGCACGCGGCGCCGGCCGCGATCAATGTGCCGCTCGGGCGCCGACAGCGATGCACTCCTGACCACGCCGACTGTGCTCTCTGAGTTGCGAACGCCAAGTCGACGCCTCGAGCTGAAAACAAGAGATCGCATATCTTTGCAACGTCGTCGCCCACAACACCATCGAAAACGCCGCGTCCACGAGCGAGGGGCACCGACTGCATAATTGTCAATCAATGGCGGTGGGGCGAGGAACTGGCGATCGACGAGCGCGTCGGCCATCGCATGCTTAGCCACCTTGGGTTCCAACAGAAACCTATCATGATCAGCTCTGTCCTCTCGGCGGCGCCGTTTGGTCTCCGCCGCGATAGCGCGGTCGATGGCCAGGTCGCCGCCGCGACGGCGCCGGCCCTGCTCCGCCATGCCAGCTGGCCACCCCTGGCCAGCCGCTGCGGGCCAACTGCCGAGGGCGCGGGCCAGCGGGCGAGGGCGCGGGCCAGCGGCCCAGGACGCGAGCCCGCTGGCGAGAGCGAGGCCCGCTGCCACCAGAAGGTGGTGGCCGAACATCACGCGAGCCAAAATGGCGACGGAGCGCGCGTCCCCGCGGGGCGGGGGCGGGGCCCCTAATCTCACCAACTCCTTCGGGCGCAAAAGGGGGATCGCCCTTCCGACCCCCTTCTTCCACTTCGGGGAGAGGCTTGCACCCCCCCCAGAGGTTTCATGGAGTGGGTCCCCGACGCGACGGCGACCCATTTAGAACACGATATGGCCCCAACAAGAGACAAATGTCAAACGATGGCCTCGAATGTTGCCAAGATTGCCCAAAGTGGCTCAATGCGGCAGCCGACGCGCACCCCTCCCCCACGAGGCCCCCGCGCCGCCCGAGCTCGGCTCCAAGCGACATCGGGGTCACCCCAAACGGTCAGAGATATTCCATGTTACCATATTCAAAACATTCAAATGGGGGTCAAAATAGCTGATCGTCTCGCCCACTGTCTTCCGACTATCACCCAGAACGTCAAAATGTTTTCAAGGCAGCCCACAACGCCCCCCACATATACACAGGGGCCCTATACCCTAAGACGCCCCCCCCCCCCCCCCCCCCCCCCCCCCCCCCCCCCCCCCCCCCTTCCCCCACAAGCGACGCGCCATAGATAAAATACCCCGGGACACCAACAGCGGACCCAAAAACAACATCTGGTGGGCCCCGACGGGGGAACGTGGAATACACCGCCCTCTTCGACCGATGGTTCCAAGATGGGCCCAAGAAGGCCTCGACGGCACCCCATCCAAACAAAAAGAGGCCGAGTGGCAACGAATCTGAAAAGATTCGTTGTCGGGTGGGGGGTCGCCCACCCTCTTTCGTCTCTGGAAATATATTGCGATTATACGATTGCCTCTTTCCCTCCCTTTGAGGCGAAAAAGAAGAAAGGGAGGGGAGGAAGGATGAGGAGGGAAGGGGGGGGGGGGGGGAGAGGGAAAGGAGGGGGGAGACAGAAAATGGGCGGAGGGGGAGGGGGGAGAGGGAGAGGAGAAGAAGGAGAAGGAACGGAAAGGAAAAATATGAGGAAGGGAAAGGACCTCAGGAGCCCCAGAGAACCTCAGGTAGGGGGTAGGAGCCGCTCTGCGCGCGGGCGCCCCTCGACGGACCGCTGCGGCGCCGCTCGGAGCGCAGACCTGCTCGGAGCGCTCCTGGAGCAGAACCGCGCGCCCTCCTCTCCTCATCCCCCCCCTGAACCTCTCTCTCCTCCCCCGGCGGCGAAGACGACGACGGCGGCGGCGAAGCGACAGGGGCCGGGGGAGAAACCGCCGCGGGGAGAGACACCGCCGCTGGGAGAGACACTGCCGCTGGGAGATACACCGCCGCTGGGAGAGACACCGCCGCTGGCAGAGACACCACCGCCGGGATAGAGACCGCTGCTGCAACAGCAGCTTCCGCCGCTGGGGGAGAGGCCGTCGCTGCGACAGGAGCTGGCGAAAATTGCGCTTCAATATTGTACATACCGCATGGTAAGCATCATCCGCTCTCGCAGTTTAGCTTCCGCCGCTGGGCGAGAGATCGCCGCTGGGAAAGATGCCGCTGCTGCGACAGGATCTTCCACCGCTGGGAGAGAAGCCGCCGCTGCGACATGAGCTGAAGATAACTGCGCTTCAAATCGTGTTATACATCCTGTATAATGTGTATCATTATCATAATCTTCAATTCTGGTCTCACCATTATCATTGCTCTCACCTCCTCCGTCTATCATTTTCGGTGATCCCCTCTTTCCCCCCCTCGCCTTGCCATGAGTGGTTCAAAGCTACAAGTAGAGAAGACGAGCCAACGGAGCCCTTTGGCCACTTGGGGCCGTCGTCCTAGAGCGGTCTTGGGGCCTCTTGGAGCATCGCGGGAGCAATCTCGAGGCATCTTGGGATATCTCGAGCCATCTTGGAGGTCATCTTGGGCTCTCCCAGGCGCCCTCGGAGTCATCTTAAGCAGCGCCCCCCCCCCCCCCCCCCCCCCCGGAGGCCAACGCGTGGCCACAACCGCAGTACAATCAATGATTTTGGCATTCTCGCCGAGGCCTCTCGGAGCGTCTTGGGCGCCTCTGGGGGGCCTCTTGGGGCCGCTTGGGAGTCTAGTGGGGGCCTTTTTGAAGGCGTGTCCTGGGGGCCTCTTGGCGGCCTCCTGGGGCCCCCTGGCCACCTCTTGACGCCGCATTCGGGCGCCCCGGGGAGCCTCGGGGGCGCTCTCGGGGCCATCTCGGAGGAGATCGATCACAGAAGGCGGGGTCTGAAATGAAGGCCGCCCCCCAAATGCCAAAATTGAGCCATGACCTTAGTGGAACCAATGATTTTGGTTTCCTCGCCGATGCCGTTTTGGGCGCTCGGGCGACCCGCGGAACTCCCCCTCCAGGTCCAGGGGGGGGCGGGGGGCTGGGCGGGAGGGGCGCGCCCCTCCCCGGAGGGGGGAGAGGGGGTGTAAGAGGAAACGCCCTAAACCACCTGCGCCCTCTAAAGGGCTGGCGGGATTACATCTCGAGCTCAGTCCAGCTGCTGCAACGAAGAGGGGGAGTTGCAAGCCAGCGGGCAGGGGGATTTGCAAGTCAGCGCGGGCGGGGGGCGAGCTCAAAATGAAGGGGAAATCGCTCGAGCGCTACCCTCTCCCCCCTCTCTCTATCCGTAGCCAGTGCGGCTTGACTGCAAGAGTTTTGCTGGCTGGTCGCGGCTTGCCCTTTGCCAGCGATCACGTCCGCGCCAAGCGGCAGCAATGTCCATTTTAGCACCGGCGCAACGTCGAGCAAGGCTGCGTTCGAAAGATTGCTTCTCACAGATCTGAAGCGCAACCGCTGCCAGGAGATGACACCGCGGCGGAGGAGCACCAGCTCTACGCGAAGACGAAGAAACATGTTAATAGGCTGACCGACATGGGCGCGAAAGGGCAAATTTTTGAGGTCACTGAAATCCCGCGCTCAAGCAGTACCCTTCTTTGCTACGAGACAACGAGAAGTATGGCGTAGTATTCTGGGGGTCCCCGCACTGGGGGACTGCGGCAAACCACGCGGAGACGGCGACGTTCAAATCGAGCTCCGTTTCCAAGACGAATGCATTCGAATCAATGAGTTGGCAATCAGGAAGCGCGCTCACCATGCTCACCTTCCCAAAGTTCTACAGAATCGATTTTTGGAACCCATGCTATCCGGATCGTATGGGAAGGCCAGACACGAGGGACCCCAGGATGCTGATTTGCCTGCCAGCGCACTTCAAGGAATATCGCCCTCTTGCTAGCGGAACCACATTCCAAGAGATGTCTGGCCCAGATGACGCAATGGTTGCATGCCTTGCGCTGGTGAGATTTCAGAGGGTTTGTCGCTCCAGGGGCACAAGCTCGACGCTGGACATGCACAAGTACGCTGTCATACGAAATTTACGGGGCAATGAAAGAGGCAG